TCATCGTGGAGATGAGTGGGAGTCGTTTTGGATCCGGCGGAGCTGCTTCGCCAACTTCTCCTGTGGGACAAACTTCTGGATTGGTGCATTCAGAACAAGACTTGCCGGTGCTCAGCAGGGAATGAGGGAATGACCCGTATAAACCATCAATGTGGTTTCCTTTTAGGGGACCCCTGGGTTCATCCCCCCATTCCCTACAGAGCACCAGCAAGAAAAGATGGGATGGGAAGAGGCCAAGGGCCAGCCCCTTAGATCTCTGGGAAAAGGGCAAGGGCCCTTAGCTTGCATTGCTCATTCGGAATGGTCAAGAGATGGTGATGCAAACCAATGCGAAACCGATTCCTTGCTTGGCCTTCGGAATGGGAGGGGCTGAGTCATAAGCCCCAGTGCTTCTCCTTTTGCTGTCCATGCGTGCGCCCACCCGAAAGAACAACAATTTCTGCAACCGATTGAAAACTCCTGATGAACTACATGGAAGCCCGAAATCCCGAAAGGGAGCTTCCTCTAATTGTGTTGTTTGCTGTCAGGTTGCAACTTGATCTGTGAACCCTGCTTCAGGTAAACAATGCTTCCAGGATGTCCCCTTCGAAGGACCGCAAACACACACACCCTGCCCGCAACCATGGTGGTGTCGTGAGCCTTCTCCAAAAAAAGTTGTGGTCATCCACTCCACTCAGGCTCCTCCATGTTTGCTGCGGGGGAACCACAAGGGCCTGATTGAGGCTTGCGTGGGTGGCGGGGGGAGGTGTTAGCAAAGGCCGGAAGTCGGGAACGGCTCTTTGCGTGTGCGTCCAAATAGAGGGCACTCCCAAAATGGATGGGCTTCCCATGGCTTCCCTTCAGCCCAAAAGCAAGAGCCCTGAAACAAACATTCATGCTAGATTGCCTTTAAACTCAACAGGGAAAATTAAACATATTCACTTCAGCAAATGGAAGAAAAGGCTGGCCCCGTCCGTCTGCTGGCGCAGCGCGAAAAGGTCCGTGGACCGCGCTGGGCCGCTGAGCTGGAGGCATCGCTCCACGAACTCGTCCACCCCTGCAACCGGAACGAGCCCCCCGACCCCACGCGGCCCGACCCCTGAAGCGTGGCGAGCTTCGGAGGAGATGGCTGCGCCAAAAATGGGGCTTTCAGATTTGACTCGCCAAAACAAAGGGTTTCAACAGGTTCTGTTTCATATACAGTCAACCTTTGATCGGATATGTTCGTGGTCGGCTCGGGAACGCATTGGGAACACATTGGAAAATATGAGGGAACATTGGAGGCCATTGGAAGCTATGGGGAACATATTTGGACATTATGGAAAGCATGGGGGAAACATGGGAAAGCTGGGGTCCTACGAGGATAGCTACAAGCATCCGCGCGCGGCCCAAGGTACATCACTCTTTTCAGGATCTCCACTCCTGCTTTTAGATTCATGCATTTGAAACACCGGAGGAAAAAACAGAGAAATAACCCGGAGACGGAGGACCCAGGCAGCCAAAGACATGGCGAGGGAAAATGGCAACATCAGGTGGAATGGTATGTTGAGCCTTCCAAGAACTATCAGGGAGTACAGTGCGAGAGGGGGGGGGTCGCTTGACATTATGTTCACAACTCAACTGAAGATCCTTCAGTTGCACGGAGCCTGTCAAACTCAGAAGGCAATCGGCAAGCTTAGGCCAACTGTCACAGATGGACGCCAATAAGCGCTACCTGACATGGCAGCCAACAGATCCCGACACCCGGCCTATACTCATGTCTCCGTCCACATCTAGAGAACTGAAGAGGGTCCAAGCGTCCATAGCTTCCATCCTGACATGCAAACGAGACAGGAACGCACATCGCGCTTCCAAACACAGAGTCGGGATCGAAGCCTGTTGTGTTGCCCTTCTTGTCTTTACAGGCCCCAAAGCTGCGACGCGCAGGAAGATCAAAGGCTGGCTGTAAGCTTAGCATCTCCATGGATCTGAAGAACGCCATCACGGCTTCGTCGTGCCAGTGTCTCTCAAGATCTGTGATGGTCACCGCCCCACGGCCCTCCTGACAAGGAAAGTGGAAAAAGCCACCGCGTCGATGGATTGATCTGTCCCTGTTGTTCGTAGAGGCGTGTCAAGACAAGACAGGTTGGATCAATGCGTCGTTGCTGAACGGCCTTTTGTTTCTAGAAAATCATTGCTTGGGGCGATGTGCTTCTGGAGATCCCATAGTAATGTTTTCCCTGCATGTTGATCAGTGTGTGTGTGTGTGTTAGGCTTTTGTCTTTCAAGGGAACTCTGCGTGGACCAGCCTGTTTGCCTCGTGTGTTCGTGCCAGAGGCTTGGTATTATACAGACAACAGCATCGGCCAGCACATATCCGCCGACATTGCTCGGCGTGTCGGATACTTACTAGAGGATAGAGGATAAGCCCCCCCCCTAACCCCCCCCCGCCCGACGTCTATTACGTAGGTTTTTTTTTTTGGGGGGGGGGGTCCCCCACGTACCGCGCGGCAATTTGATGACGTTCCACTAAACGTAGTCT